AAATAACTTTTTGCATTAGCTATAGTTCACCTTTATTCTTGGATGTGTAGGAATTAAATGTTGATTGAACATAAAAATAAAAATTTAAATTTTGTTAGGAATTAGATTAAAGAACTGAGAGAATTATTGAAAAATGTATTAAAAATACTTATCAAATTTTAAATTTAAAGTGCTTTTGCTTGGGATAATTCAGAACATAATTTAACTGAATTACACAGCGAAAATGGTTTTATTGCTGGATCACCCAATACTTCATTAATTTCAATGAATACAGTAATGAGTAATGGTTGGCATTTAAATTTAACAAAAAATCTTTTTTGAAAATTAAATTTTAAAAGGTTTTGTAACAATTGAAGAAGGCGAAGAAAAAGATAAAAGTATACGTTTTGAATTACAAAGGATTGGCCGTATTAAATTTTCTAGAGATTTGCCTGTTAGAAGGGTAGGTTTTTTAAAGTAAAATTTATATCTACAAAAGGTAAAACAAATGAGGTGGAGAGAGGGGTGCCCCCTACTCAAAAATTTATTTTTGATTTTCTCATGTTTGGATTATATTTTTCTAAAAGAAAAATACGCGAAACTACAAAGGAATTTCTCAAAATCCTTAATCTGGAGTAAAGACCAGACTCTAGTTATCAGCCGAGAATCTCAATCCGAATGATCGAATTTTTGATCGAGATCGTGTCTCGGTCTTAAGTATGGATATAGAGATCTCGATTCTCGTACGACATTCCCAGTCCGGTCTCTAATTAAATTAATTATCCCACTAGAAAATTTTCCACAAAAAACGAGACCCTACCACAAATTCAAGGACCCCTCCTAATTTTCACTAGATTTAAGTAAAAATATAATTAATCGAGAAAAGTATTTATTTAAATTATTTTTGAATATATAAAAATTAAAAAAACCTCACAGAAAGAAATTATTCACATTCAGCAATAGATCGATAAGTTAATTCTTTATGTGCAATCTTTTTGTTCTTTTCCAAAGACATTTTTGATTCAAAACCATTAGAACGATCAACACCATCCCATCTATAACCTGGTTTAATTTCATAACGATTTGGAGGGCATTGGCCTTTATATGTTGGATAAACTTAAAAAAGAGAAAATTAAGAAAAAATAAGTAATTGTGGGATGAGAAAGGATAGGAGTGTCAAAGACGGTGTTAGAAAAGGCTTACATTCGTAACTATAAAATTCTACAAAGGCCATATAATTTTAACTAGGCCATGTAATTTTTTGATTATTTTTCATGAATCTTCCCCAAAAAAATATTTTTATTAATTTAAGCCAACAATCAAAAGAATTAAAGATAGTAATTCTAAAAATCCTTGATTTTGGGTGAGGACCATGTCCAGGTTCTTGACCTTAAGTCAAGGAAAAATCAAGGAAAACTGAAAAATGCCTTGATCTTGACTTAGAATCCAAAAAAATGATATATCCAAGAAGAGGAAGGGCCTGCTAAACATAGAAAAAATAAAATTCAAAAATAAACCAATTCCTGTTCGCATTTGTATTTTATGATTCTTAACACGAAAATATTCTGCCATTGGATCTTCTGAATGTAATTGTGTCTTCAAATGTTCATTTAAAGCCTCATCGTCTTTATGCCTTGTAAATCCTTCCCCCAAAACTTGTTCCATTTCATCCAACTTTTCTTCTCGTTCTTTTATTTGAGCTATTCCTTTATTCCATAGAGAATATTTTTTCTCCATTTCTGCTTGTTTTGCAGCTTCTCGAGCTTCTCTAGCCTTCTTTTCTTCAGAGTTTTCTTCTTCTCTTCTGCCCCTTCTTCCTCTGTCAAAACCTGTCACTCGTTTGCGAGTTTCTGCATCACGGCCTTGTTCGTCTGCTTGGGCTTTTTCCTGAATTTTTTTACTTTTAATTAGAATTGAAGAAATTAAAACTAAAAACCCCCGAAATTTTATCATTTTGGGAAATATTTTGTCCGAAGAAAATCACAGTAGCAATGAAAAACCCCTCCACTAAAAAAGATAAAAATAATAATTTCCGAAACCTTTTGACCACGTTCACGCATTTTTTGAATTTCTTCTTTTGCAACTTCTTTGCTCAATAGTCCAGCTTTTCGGCCATCATCCATTTTTCTTCGCTTTTTTGAAGGTCCTTCTTGATCAATATTTTCTTCATCAATTTCTTCCTTAATATCTTTTTTTAAGATAGAGGCAGAATTTGGTGATTTTTCGTCATCTGGGTCGTCAGGTGGTCCTTAATTTAGTAATTAAAAATAAAAATCGTTATTGAGCATTCTATGGAATGTAGTAGCAAGATCAAGAGAACGAAAATTTTAAACTCTGGTTTAAACTAATTTGTAAAACAATTGAGCAGGATATCCAGAATATTCAAGGAAAAATATAGGCTAATGTAAATCTAAGGGAAAAGGGAGGACTAGGACCCTTAAAAAGGACAAGTGCCGAGTGCGAAAAAAGTTCGGCTATAGAAAAATCATCCATAGCCCGACTCACCCAAATGGATATATATGTTCAACTCCCAAACAAAAAATACTTAGTAAAAATCAAATGAGGAATAGGAAAATACCGAAAATAAAAAATTAAAAAAATTTGTAACCTTGAATGACAACAAATCCATCACTTTTAAAAACTGGCGCTTCAACTTCTTTTTTATTTTTACGTGCTTGTTCTGCTTTTCTATTCAATAAACGAATTGCTCTTTCAACATCATCCATTTCCTCATCATCCTCTTCCTCAAATTCATCATCTAATTTATTTCTGCTAGTCCCAGGTTTGCTTCGAATAAATGTGTCTTCATCAAGTAAACGCATTCCAACATTGGAATTTGTTGATTTTTTAGTTTTTGATTTGCTCTTTTTTGGTTTTTCTGATGAACTTGTTGTATATTTCTTTAAATATTCTGCACGCGAAACTGTTGTCATTTTCTTAAATAATCTTTAAAATCTAAAATTTTAGAAAAATTTTTAAAATCTAAAATTTTAGAAAAAAAATTAGAAAATAAAAAAATGGGTGCGGCCCACCTTGTCGCGGGCCACCTTGTCGCGACCACCTTGTCGCGACCACCTTGTCGCAGGCCCACCTTGTCGCAGGCCCAGCTTGACGCAGGCCACTTTGTCGCAGGCTTTCCTTTGGTTTTTATTTCAAGGCTGGCCTAAACTTCACTCGCCACGTGCCGTACTTCATCCCACGGCTACAACGATTGGAAATATGGAAGGTTTAGAATTTCTATTTTGTTTTCTAGGTTTTTTTTTAATTTTTTAGTTGATTTCCAGGAGTGTTTTTTTCCTTTTATTACTTTCTCTTATCCGGTTAAAGTCTACCGGAGTTTTAACAGAGTAAAACCGATCCAAATTACTCCAGAAAACCCCGATCGTGCCCAGAAGGCCTTTTTTCTACCCTCCATATCAGCATAAAAAATTTTCAACCTTTGCGACAAGGTGGGCCTGCGACAAGGTGGCCTGCGACAAGGTGGTCGCGACAAGGTGGTCGCGACAAGGTGGCCCGCGACAAGGAGGGCGTGTCGTGCCCGCTCAACTCATCTAATCCTTAACTCATCCACACGCCCAAAAACGCTCAACTCATCTAAAGGGCTAAAATTCCTTAACTCATCCACACGGCCAAAAACGCTCAACTCATCCAATCCTCAACTCATCTAATGCTTAACTCATCCACACGCCCAAAAACGCTCAACTCATCCAATCCTCAACTCATCTAATGCTTAACTCATCTACACGGCCAAAAACGCTCAACTCATCCAATCCTTTGGAACGAGACTATTGAGTACCAGTCGTTTGAGTCCCTGGCCGTTTGAGTCTCTGGCCGTTTGAGTCCATGACCAGTTGAGTCTCTAGCCGGTAAAGTCCCTGGTCAGTTAAGTCCCGGCCGTTTGAGTCCCTGGCCGTTTGAGTTCATGACCAGTTGAGTCCCTGGCCGTTTGAGTCTCTGGCCGTCTGATTCCATGACCAGTTGAGTCTCTAGCCGGTTAAGTCCCTGGTCAGTTAAGTCCCGGCCGTTTGAGTCCATGACCAGTTGAGTCTCTAGCCGGTTAAGTCCCTGGTCAGTTAAGTCCCGGCCGTTTGAGTGGTTGATTACCGCCGGTTGAGTCTTGGGCCGGTTGAGACTCAACTGACCAGGGACTCAACTGACCAGGGACTCAACCGGCTAGGGACTCAACCGGCCGATATTTCAAGGATTGGATGAGTTGAGCGTTTTTGGCCGTGTAGATGAGTTAAGCATTAGATGAGTTGAGGATTGGATGAGTTGAGCGTTTTTGGGCGTGTGAATGAGTTAAGCATTAGATGAGTTGAGGATTGGATGAGTTGAGCGTTTTTGGCCGTGTGGATGAGTTAAGTGTTAGATGAGTTAAGGATTGGATGAGTTGTAGGGTAGCCGGGCGTGTCCCTAAAAAAATTGTTGTGAAATACCCAAATAAAAATAGATAAAATGAATTTATAACGTGTGTCGATATTTTGAAATTATTCAAAGGAAAAACAATCAAATTGGTAACTAGCAATAAAAATCAAAAATGTAAATTTCACTTTATCTAAAATCTAGTTTCCGACAAAAGGGCACATGGGCAAAATAAGACAAAATGGCACACCAAAAATGGCCTACGCCATAATTCATTATGTAGTTTCGGCGCTTTTGGACGGTTTTGGGAAGGTCTGATTCGTCCTGCTCCGAGGTCTGGGGTTAGAATAAAAATGGGAATGATGGAAACTGATATCAATTAAATTATGAATTTAATTCTAGATGGTGCGCGAGTGGATTCTTCTAAACGAAAGTCATTTGGAATCACGATTGCATATGTCGACGCTTACTCACCGAATGCTTTTACATACACATATAATTTATGAAAAAGTATATCCACGTTAAAAAAATATAATTTTAGTTTATTTTGAATAAATATATGTACAGAAAAATCAAAAATTGGTTGAAAAATTGAGTAAAATAAACCATAAATTTTGAGAAATTCTCGAGAAAAATCAAATTTAAAGAATTAATTTCCATTAAAAATTTAATCGGCGAATCAAAAGACATGAAGCAACAATCGCGCCAACCCCACAAACTGCAGCTAGCCCATAAATTCTGTTATTTGAGCGAGCAAGTGATTGTTGTTGTTTTTGTAAAACAATTTGATTAACAACTTTCGCAATGTCAGTACAGAAACTTTCCTAGAGAAAATAAAAACAATTAAAACTTGAAGCGCATTTTAATTGGGAAACTTTCAATGTTAAGTTTTAATAAACCTGAAACTTAACTTGTCTTGAAAAAAAATTTAAAAAAAGTTGGTAAACTTAAAGTTTGCAAACTCGAATTTCAAAGTTTAATCTAAAACTTGAAACAAGTTGGAAAGCAAGTTTTAAGCTTAAACTTAAGAATTAACTGAAAAAACCAACTAGAATTTTTCTTAAATCAAACTTGAAGCAAGTTTTAAATAAAATGGTAACTTAAGTTTTAATAATTAAGAAGTTTGCAAACTTTAAGTTTACAAACTTAATTTTTAAAGTTTGATCTTAAACTTGAAACAAGTTTCTACTTAAAAAGTTTGTTTGGTAATAGTTTGGAAATTCGCCCTCCTTTTTTTCACCGTTTTCCTGACCATTTTGAGCTTTTTTGTTTTATACATAATTTATATATCATTTGAAAGAGCTCTTCGAGCCTGGTCGAATGATACCATGATTTCTAGATCTAATCAGTCTTACCAAAATTATGAAGCTAAATCCTATTTTGGGTAAACTTTTTGTGCCAATGCAAGTGGATAAAATAAACGATCACAACTTTGTTCACTTAAGCCAGATTTCATTAATTTTAATGTCATTCGACTCAGCTCGAAGAGCTCTTTCGAATGATATATAATTTGCCATAAAATGAGAAAAAACTAGGAAAAAATGGAAAGGAAAAAAATAGGGGGGGGGGGGGCGAATTCCAAACTATTACCGTTTGTTTTAAGCTTGAACTTAAAGAATTTTTTAAGCTTAAAGAATCAACTTATAATTTTTTAAACTCAAGTTTTAACTTGAAAACAAAGTTGAAGCAAGTTTTAAATCTTAAGTTTCCATAGTTAACCTCCCTTTATAAAATTGTAATACATACCCAAGAACCCTCAATCGTAGATAGCAAAATGCCCGAACCATAAATTGAAACTTGATAAATTTCACGTCTATAATCTCTCGGCAGTTTATTATTAGAATTTTCTTCATCCTCTTCCCCACATTGTGAAGCATCCAATTCAGCTAATCGTCTAGCATATAACCCAGTAAAAGCTATCAACGCTAACAAAGCAATGGATTTGTCCATTCGTTGACTTAATAAGTCTAGATAGTGACGAACAATCTTAAAAATAATTTTTAAGGATTTTTTTAAACTTTTTGAAAAACCATTCGGAAGCTTCTAAAGTTAAGTCTTCCCAAAGGTACAAGTCTATTAATCATTGTTTCTTCAATTTCTTTTCGATTATCATGCTCAAAAATAAGTGCTGCTTGTTCGAGAAGCAACCATTCTTGAGGGGGATCATCTTCTGCGCAATAAGGAGCTTCAAACCATTCTAGGTTGGAGTCTTTTTCAATCCGGCGTTTAATGTAGAAAAGGAGAAACATATCTGCTCCAGGATGATGGTTTTGTTGTTGTTGTAACATTATTTAAAAAATAAATTTTGTATTGAATAAAAAAATTTTTTAGAAGGTTAACATTGAAAATATTTTTAATATTTAAACTGAAGCAAACGAGTATTTTGAAGCTGAAGCAAATTTTATTCTTGAATTTAAAGTTGTTTTATATTCTCAATTTAAATATTAAGCAAGTTTTATTCTTAAAAACTTTTTAAGTTTAAACTTAAAATTTATTAAGTTCAAACTTAAAAAATAAATTATAAAATACAACTTGGAAACTTTATCAAGTTCAAACTTGAAAAGTATTGTTTCTAAGTTCAAACTTTAAATTTATTAAGTTCAAACTTTAAAAATAAATTATAAAATACAACTTGAAACTTTATAAAGTTCAAGCTTGAAAAGTAAATTTAAACTTCGCAATAATTTTAATCGAAGCTTGAACTATTTCTAAAGCATTTCCGGCAATAAAATGCATGTGAGGATGGAATAAAAAATCGACTACAATGACAACATCTCCGTGCTACCCCCATTATTCTTATTCACATATCGCCACAATCTATTCATCGATTACACGTGCTGTACTTTTGAAGGACTTTCTCACATAAAAAGTACATATTTTTATTCGAAAAAAATTTTTATAGTATAAAAATGAATTAAGAACATGGAAAAATTTTTAAAAGATGATAGTAAACAAGAGATCTGACAGAAAAATAAATAATCTATTTTTGTTGTACAAAAAATTTTTTACTGCTTATAAAACAAGAAACTTCAAAAGCAGCATAATTCCTTTAAATTATTAAATAATTTAAATATTTTTAAAAATATTACCTGCAGATATGAAGGCAGCAACAGGCAAAGTAACTAGCCAGGAGAATACAACGTTCCGAAAAATTGACCATTTAATGCCTTCACCTGATTTAATACATCCAACGCTTACCACACTGCCAACCTTTAGAAAAAGAAATTAATTTATGTATTTTTAAGTTTGCACTTAAAACTTAATTTTAAAAGAATTAAAACTTGAATTATTAAGTTTAGAAAAACTTGATTCTTAAGTAATTAAAACTTGTATTATTAAGTTTAGGGTTGCCGTTTTCGAGTCGGGCCGACGGTCGATGCATTTTTTTTCGGGCTTGTTTTTATCGAGTCGGGCCGGTACGAGTCTTTTTCGGGCCTAACTTTATCGAGTCGGGCCGATACGAGTCTTTTTCGGGCTAAATTTATCGAGTCGGGCCGGAACGAGTCACTTTCGGGCCTGACTTTATCGAGTCGGGCACCGAGACATTTTCGAGTCTTTTTTTAAAAGATTTATTTAAAAATAATTAGTGGATTTGGAGGGATATCTCTGAATTAAAAGGTATATCGATGGATCAGGAGGGTAAAGGAAGGGCTGAAGAGAATTAAAATGGATAGCAGTGGATTTGAGAAATTAAGGTGATTTAAATTATCGGAGGATTGATGTGAGATATTGCTAGATTTGGTTTTATTAAAGGAGATCAAATGATTAAGGGGTTCAGGATCGTATATCAGATGATTAAGGTGATATATTGTAATGGGATTTAGAAGGAATGAGAAGATTTGAAGGGATATCGGGGATATCGTGCGTTAATCACCAAATCCCTTAATTTCCTCGTATCCTTGTTAATGCTCTAAATCCATCATAATTTCTCCTACAGCTTCTTTATCACTTCATTGACAGTAGAAAGGAAGAAATCTGGCCACTTAGTCTTCCAAAAGTCTTAAACTTTTCGACTCCAGCGGTAAAAAAAAGATGAAATCACTGATATACCTCAAAATCACTGGTACCTCCAAATCACTGATATACCTCCAAATCACCAATTAAATACACACTTAATCCAAGGGCGTATCCAAGGGCGTATCCAGCTTATCAATTAAAGCCAGTAAGTTCGAGATGTGAAGCAAAGTATGGAGATAAAAACCCTTCATGCAGGCAAAAATTTTGAGATATTCGGAAGGCTAAGGACCAAACTTCTTCCTTTTTCAGCGCCGCAGGCGAAAATTTTTCGAATTTTGGAAGGCCACGGAGCCAAATTTCACCCATTTTTGTCCACAAATCTGGTAAAAATATTATCGAGTCTCGTTCGAGTCGGGCTGACTTTTTCCGAGACAATTTTTTTCGGGCCTGTTTTTATCGAGTCGGGCCGGTACGAGTCACTTTCGGGCCTAACTTTATCGAGTCGGGCCGTTACGAGTCTTTTTCGGGCCTAAATTTATCGAGTCGGGCCGGTACGAGACTTTTTCGGGCCACACATCGAGGCATGACTCGATCTTTCGGTCCGAGTCGGTCCATTTTGGCAACCCTAATTAAGTTTAAACTTAGAACTTGATTCTTAAGAAATTAAAACTTGAATTTTTAAGTTTACACTTAAAACTTAAAAAACTTAATTTTTTAAAGAATTAAAACTTGTATTATTAAGTTTAAACTTAGAACTTGATTCTTAAGGAATTAAAACTTGAATTTTTAAGTTTGAACTTGAAATTTGATTCTTAAGGGATTAAAACTTGAATTTTTAAGTTTACACTTAAAACTTAATTTTTAATGCATTAAAACTTAAATTTCAAGTTTAAACTTAAACCTGATTCTCAGCGGATTAAAACATTAATTATTAAGTTCAAATTTAGAACTTGATTCTTAAGGAATTAAAACTTGAATCATTAAGTTTACACTTAAAACTTGTTCTTTTTTATTCGATCTCTTTAATAATAAACTAACCAAACAATGAGTTGTAGAAATAGGTAATCCAGCTTTACTGGCTAGCAAAGCTGTCACGGCAGCACCAAATTCAATTGTAAACCCACTGGCAGCATGTATTGAGGACATTCTTTGTCCAACAGTTTTAATCACTTTATGGCCTAATACACAAAGTCCAACACACATTGCAAACACCCCATAAAGTAGAACATAAATAGGAGTAGGTTCTTTCTGTTGGACACTCATCTCTCGGTAGATAGCTAACATGGCCGTGAGCGGGGCTATTGCGTTACTATAAAATTATTGGTAGGTGTTAATAAAATTCTAAGTTTGAACTTAAAAATATAAGTTTAAACTTGATTTTTAAAATAAGTTTGTAAACTTAGAATCTCATAATTAAACTTTGTCAAGCTTGAAACACTTACTAGTTGAAAAATATTAAACTAAACACACCTAACATCATTAGAACCGTGTGCAAATCCAGCAAAACATGCAGTAAAGACCTGAATGGAGCTGAAAAGCTGAAGCGTTTTTGCATCCTCTTTTCTGTCGTGGGCAGGAAGAAGCCAATGAAGAAAACCTCTTGGTGCTACAAAAAATAATAAAGTTTAGAATGAAATAAAGTTTAAGATTGAACTTAAAACTTTCAAGTTTAATTTCTGAAAGAATTTGTTTCAAGTTTGTAATCTTGGAAAAAGAATATTTTCAAGTTTGAACTTAAATAGTTTCAAGTTTTAACTTTCACTGATAACAATTTTGAATTTTCAAAATTTAAAATTGTTTCAAGTTAGACTTACACAATTCTAATTTTTGAGGAACATAATTTGTAACACTCAAAACACTTTCAGCTTCACTTATTCCTCTATTTCTATTTTTCCTCAATTTATTATTTCCATTAAACACATTTCCTTGATATTTTTCGGGTACTTCAGAAATACTTCTACAAATCTGTTTTCCATTCTTTTTATCATTTTCTAGAGGTATTGTTATATAATTATTTCCAGGCAAACTGTGGGTAGCTGAAAAAAATATTAAAATTAAGTTAAATTAAATTTATTAATAATTAAATTTAATTTTTTAAATTAATTTTTTTATTTTTTTAAATTAATTTTTTTTTAATTAATTTTTTAAATTAAATTTATTATACTTTCAATAACAAAAGACCCATCCAAATGTGTTCTTATTTTTCCATCAAATTCCAATCTTTTATTAATAATAGGTAATTGGGGATGACTAAGAATTGAACCATTCCTCTGAACAACATCTCGAACAACAGCAATTGTGTGTTTTCCTATTTTAATTTATTTTCAAGTTTGAACTTAAAATTAAGGTTATTTCTCAGAATAGATTTATTTTTAAGCTTGAACTTGAAAACAAGTTTATTTTCTAAAATAAATTTATTTTAAGTTTGAACTTAAAAATAAGTTTATTTCTCAAAATAAAATTATTTTCAAGTTTGAACTTAAGAATAAGTTTATTTCTCAAATAAAATTATTTTCAAGTTTGAACTTAAAAATAAGTTTATTTCTCAAATAAAATTATTTTCAAGCGTGAACTTAAAAATAAGTTTATTTCTCAAATAAAATTATTTTCAAGCGTGAAGTTAAAATTAAATTGTTTCAAGTTTAACTAAAATTTGCTTCAAAACAACTATCAAATAGAAACCCACGATGTATCCAACTACTCAGTCTCGGCTTTAAAACAAAATGAACAACTAAAGCTGCCAATATTGCAGTTAATAGACTAATAATAATAGCCAGCCAAAGAGGAATACTTTCTAAACCAAGAATTTTCGAGCCTTGATAGCTAATAGTGAAAGTATTGAAAGCAATACAGAAGAAATAGAATATTGGTAATACTCGAAGACCTAGAAAATAAAAAAATGGATTGAATTGTTAAGAGTAAAAGTGTATAAAAATAACACAAAATTATTGAGTTAGCGAACTTGAAGCAAGTTTAAAAATAAAGGATGATTCAAGTTTAAAGTCGAATCTAAGCTTAAACTTAAAACTTGAACATGATGTTAAATCAAGGGGATCACCGACAGTTGTCGGTTTAGCCCGAAGAAAATGGCAATAAAATTTAAAAATCCACTGACCAGCCTCAAGAGGTTCTTCCTTTCGCAAAACACTAATATCCACAACTAAATAAAGAATACTTGAAATAAATCCAGAAAGAAGGGGAGAAGTAAACCAAGAAAGCGCTTTAATTAAGTAAATTAAAAAATATTTTTTTCCAATTTTCTAACCAATTTTTCCAACTTCCCACCATTGGATACTTGATATTCCTTTCATCATAAAAGAAAAACCAATCGT